CTATACTTCATTATGTTTATCCATTCAACAGTTGATGGACGTTGGAGGTGTTTCCACTTCTCGGCCTCTATGAGTGATGCTGTTATGGACGTGTACGAGGTTTTGTGTAGACACCTATTTTTACTTCCTTGAGGATTTTCGCAAGAGGAGAAATGCTGGCTTCTCTGGTAACTCTAATATCTAACTTTTGGGGACGTGCCAAACTGTTTTCCAAAGCGGCTGCACCATTTGACATTCCTTCCAGCCACGAACAAGGGTTCCCCTTTCTCCACATCCCAACCGACACTTGTTTTCCAGTTTCCTTTTTAAAATGACAGCCACCCTCGGTCAGACATTGTGCTGTATGAACGAATCACTCTCACTGCTCTTGCCGGCGCTCCCTCCAGAGGCTGGCTGAGGCCTTGTGCTGCGGGTTCACATCTGAGGAGCTTTCTGGAGATAGATGGCACCATTCGCCTCCTGAGAGCCCCTGAGAGACCCTGAGTTTGCTTTTGGATTGAACGCGGTGATAACTGAAATCATGGGTTTTTTTTTTTTTTTTTTTCAGGGAACCCAAGTCTGCTCCCTCACAGCAGATCTGGCTTTGGATTTCTTCCTTTGTTGGCCTTTGGGAGAGAAGGGTGTTTAGTCATTCTGAGAACTCTGGGACCTCACGTGTGGAAAGCTGGCAGAGTTGATCTTCTGGTGTTAACATGGCCTGCTTACTTTTAGGCTTTAGATGACTGCTTTTCTTTTCTTTAAAAAAAAAAAATTTTTTTTTATGTTTATTTATTTTTGAGACAGAGAGAGACAGAACATGAACAGGGGAGGGGCAGAGAGAGAGGGAGACACAGAATCTGAAACAGGCTCCAGGCTCCGAGCTGTCAGAACAGAGCCCGACGCGGGGCTCAGACTCACGGACCTTGAGATCATGACCCGAGCCGAAGTCGGATGCTTAACCGACCAAGCCACCCAGGCGCCCCAGATGACTGCTTTTCAAGTATCAGTTTTACGTGCTGTTACTTCAAGACTGGGAAGGAACCGAGCAATGGCAGTACCTCAAAGGCCCCTGAGCCTGCGAATCGAGAGGAACTCAGGTGTCACAGACATGCTCATGTTTCGCTCTTGTGCCTTCGGGAGCCCAGAACTCCCCGTTTGCCTGATCACTTAAAATGCTATGTGATAGTCAAAGATGGGGAATGGAAAGCAGCACTATCCGACTCTGGCGTTCCCTCTGTCCCGTCACACCACACCCCTCTCAGCCCAGGAGAGCTGGACCACAGTTTAGGAAAGAATACTGTAGTTTTTGTGAATGAACTTGTACAGAGGGGCTCTACTGAGGACCACACTCTGGGTGAAGCGAAGTCTTGGTTAGAGGCCTGGAGAGTGAAGGAAAGCCTACCTGCCCCCCGCTCCTCCTCCCACCCCACCCCCCGTCCTGGTAGAGCTTTCCTTCTAGGGCTGGGGCCTCATAGGCCACCTGAGCAGTGGACAGAGAACAGCTGGAAGGACACAGGCTGAAGCGGCTGCTCCCCCGAAAGCCTTTGGGCGGTTCAAGGAAGGAACAAGAATGGAACAAGGCGGGGAGGTCCGAGGCACTGGGCAAAGAAGCTTGGCTTTTGCATAAAGGACTTGAGAATCGCGATGCTAAGAAAGTTTGGCTGAAGAGGAGAGGTCATGCGACCGTCTCGTGGCAAAGTGCGCCAAGCCACAGGCAGCTCTTAAAAGGCCTATTCCGGAGATATTATTGAGCAGATTTCTAGAGCTCAGTAATAATGGCAGCTGAGTCTGTTTTCAGTCAAGGTGCTTTATAGCTCTGGTCCCTGCTACAGGCCAGAGCTGATGATGAGTGGAGAGCATGGGGCCTGGGAGCGGTAAGAAGTTGATGCTGGTCTGGGACAGCAACCACAATATGGGTGGGGGGTGGAGAGGTCACCCGGAAGGGGCCAGAAAAGGCCTCCCCACCAGCTGCTACTTAGGGCCTCCAGCTAAAAAACACACAGACCGTTTTCCTGGGTCTCACCTCTGGCACAGACAAGCAGCTGACTGACAAGGCCAGACTGGGCAGTTTACAAGAAAATTTCTCTGCTGCTACCTTCAGAACATATAGCAGGCACCTGCTGTGTACAGAGGACTAGAATGGCAAAAGGAATAGAACAAGAGAACAAGAGAAGCTGGGTAAGGAAATTAAAAAAAAAAAAAAAAAAAGGATCAATGTCTCTTAAGTGCGCCATGATTACAACCATGGCGTCCCAGAGCCTAGGCAGGAGTGCGGCTGGACCAGTGAGGCTGGGGCTCCTGGGCCCTCAGGCGTGACAGAAGAACACCCACCCTTTCTGGACAGGAGCCTTCTGAAGTCACAATAATATTGTTTTATGCCCGAGGAAGGGGAGGAGAAACCACGATGAGAACCACGTGCTTTCAGCTGTCAATGTGTTAGATCTGTTCTTTTCCGAGGCTCTGGGACCCCTTCCTGTCCCCGCAGAGGCCACGGCTGCAGTCCCCAGCACCCGGAGTTGTCAGCAAGAACTCAGGCCAGGTTCTCCAGGGCAGCTCTCGAAGATAAGTCTGGGCAGTCAATCCCTAAGCAACGAGGCAACAGGCAGTCTTCTTTTGGGTGAACGTGTCTACTTAGAGGACAGGAACCCCTGGGGATGAGGTGAAGCCCAAAGATTTAGGGAACATCCGGTGTGCTTGTGGAATCCAAGGGCTGGGTAGGACCCCTGGGATATGAAGTATTCTAGACTCGGCCTGATCACATCAGGGTTGGGGGGCATCCAGACCCAGAAAATCCTACCAACCTCACTCCGGTCACAAGGGAGGGGGAGGCTTCAGGGAAAGAACTCCAGGGCAAATATGGTAACCCAGGCCGAGCCGGGAGTCCCATCTGAGGGTTGGTGAGAATCCTCCCAGAGACTAGATGTGGGGGACATCTGCGAGCATCCTGTAGTATTTCCTTAGCTCTAGGGGGATTTAGGGACTGTTCCCAATACATTTTTACTCTGTTATAGGTACTCCCTTTCTGCTATTTTGGTTGTCCCCAAAGTGACCATTCTAGACCCAAGGTTCAGTGGGAAAATGGAATGAGAACATCTTTGAGGTTTAAAACAGTCGTTATAGAATTTCCCCAACGGGGGGCTTTAACCTCTTCGTATACACCTTCTTCCCCTTCCCTCTTCTTACCTTTTCTCTCTGGACCAGCTTCTTGTAGACAGTGTCTGGGAAGGACCTCAGGGGATAGAACTTGCCAGTGCCCTCAGCGCACATGAAGACACCGTTCTCATACACGACTCGTCCCCGGCTGATGGTGACCAGCGGTATACCGTGGCAGCGCATGTTCTCGTACAGGTTGAAGTCTCCTCCCTGCACCTGGGTGCTGGCTGAGATGGTCCTGGTGGAGAGGCAGGGGTGGGAGAGAAAGCTCTGAGAAGAGGTGATGATGTCACAGCTCAGCAGGACGAATCGATGGTCAGTGGGAGGGGGTGATGCTCAGTGACAAGGAATAATAATAGTCCCCAAAAGCTGTCTGCTGCAGACCGAATCCCATCACCCCCCCCCCCCCAAATGTATATACTGAAGTCCTCACCCCCAGCCTCTGAATGTGCCTGTATTTAGAGACAGGGCTTTTAGAGAGCTAATTAAAGTAAAATGAGATCATACGAGTGGATGATCCACTAATCCAATCTGACTGGTGTCTTTATAAGAGGAGGAAATTCGGACCCCAGACATGCACACCCATAGAGGAAAGACCAGGTGAGGACGGAGGCATAAGACAGCCATTTACAACCCATGGAGAGAGGCCTCAGATGACACCAAACCCGCTGACACCTTGATCTTGGACTCCCAGCCTCCAGAACTGGGGGAACATACGTTTCTGGTGCGTCTAAGCCACCAGTCTGTGGTAGGGCCGGAGCAGCCCTAGGAAATGAATCAACTGAGCCAAACTCTAGCGAGTTTTCTGCCAACAGTGATCACGAACACCCACACCTCTGCAGCAACAGGGACCAACCCCAGGCTTCAGGAGGCAGAACGTGGCTTCTCGAATGCTCTAATGGAGAAGACAGCGTGGGTATCCCGGCCTCGGGGTGGGTGGCGGTGCACCAAAGAAGGCGAACCTTCTTTCCAATGCAACTTTTTATTTTCACAATTCCATTAAATTTTTGCTTATCTTCTTTACTTCTAGCCTGTACACCGAGAAAAGTACCTGGCCACCAGTTAGCACTTAACAAAAATCTGCTGAGCGATTAATGAAATTTAATCGGAAAGAGCGGTTTCCATCTCCCCTGCCCAAATCTCTTAGTAAAAACCAGGCTCTGTAGCCCGTGGCCTGGTAACCCCCTTCATTCGTTCACTCAACTCGCGTGCGCTAATGCTGTGGGTGTCAAGCTCTGTGCACTCCAGAGTACCCAACACCCTCAGTGAGGGGAGCGGGGGGCTGGCAGAGGAGCCCGGAGCATCAGGACACCTGTCTGGTTCAAGGGCGTGTTAGCTATGTGATGCGGGGAGCCCCTCTACTCTCTGGGTCTTCGTTTCTTCAATAGGAATATGGAAGTAAGAACGCTAGCATGAGTGCTTCCTGGGGCCGCGTGAAAACCAAACGAGATCACTGACGTGAAGCCGCTCTGCATCACCGTAAGGCGCTATGCGCACGGTGATACCCTGCAGCCGGTCTGAGCCTGTCTTGTTCACTGCCGCATTCCTAGTGCCCCGACTACGGCAGGCCCTCAAATACTTGTCGAACCGAACACACCACAGGGTCACACTTCGCTACGCTAGATGCAGCGCAGGGACGATAAGCTGGTGGAGTTTTGCACTGCGAGCGCCTTAAAATCCCAAGTCCCTCTAGCCCCGGCGACTAGCAGCAGGTTTTACTTTGTGGCTTCCGGATCCCACACCACCACGTCGGCATCGGCCCCAGGGATGATGCGGCCCTTGCGGGGATACAGGTTGAGAATCTTCGCCGCGTTGGAACTGGTAACGGCCACAAAACGGTTCTCGTCCATCTTTCCTCCAACCTGAAACATTGCAACAGTGCCACGTCACCCAAACCCTGCGCGTGCCTCAAAGCCACGGCCACCCTTGACTCGGGCCTGCGGTCTTTTAGTTGGTCACGACAACGGTGCCGAGAAGGACGATGATGTGAGCACCGTCTCAGCTGAGCCAACCTGCTGGCCGGGTTCCCGGCCATCGCCTCAATCCTTCCTCCGGCAACAGTGGTGAGTGGGCTCTTCGCCAAAGGCCGCCCACCTGGTGGAAATCCACCTCCTGTTTGTACAACCGGCTCTACCCGTGTGTCTACTAGGGATGGGTCGGGAGCCTTCCTTCGTCCACAAAGGGACACAGATTTCTGGGCTCTTGAAAAACATCTTACTGCCTCACCCACCAGTGAGAGCACCATGGACTCCCTTCAGGGGGGATTCCACAGCCACTCGTGGGCCTCTCTGAGCGGCTGGCTTACTCTTGAGGACTTCAAATCTCCTTAGGCTCGGATTTGCTGCAGCTAATCTGTGATAGGTCAGGACCAAAAATACTTATTCTTCGTGGGGAGAACAGGTGGTATTCAAATGAAGTCCTAGTCCCTGTTTTTCTCAAAAAGCAACAGGCCAAAACATGTAAAGAGCCTTAAAAAAGGTTCATTCCCTTTGGCCCAGAAATCTGCTTCTAGGAATCTGTCCTAAGGAAATAATTAGAAACGCTCACATGTATATACTCCTGAACAAAGAAGCTCTCTGCAGCATTATTTGTAAGTGCAAAACTCCGGAACAGCTAAAAGCTCCAAACTCAGGGAAGGATTAACTGAAATGTGCTACTTCCACCGGAGGAAATACTATTTAGCTACTAAAAAGATGCTATCGGGGCACCTGGGTGGCTCAGTCGGTTAAGCGTCCGACTTCGGCTCAGGTCATGATCTCACGGTCTGTGAGTTCGAGCCCCGCGTCAGGCTCTGTGCTGACAGCTCAGAGTCTGGAGCCTGTTTCAGATTCTGTGTCTCCCTCTCTCTCTGCCCTTCCCCTGTTCACACTCTGTCTCTCTCTGTCTCAAAAATAAATAAACGTTAAAAAAAATTAAAAAAAAAAAAAAAGATGCTATCAGGGCACCTGGGTGGCTCAGCGGGTCGAACGTCCGACTTTGGTTCAGGTCATGATCTCAAAGTTCGTGAGTTTGAGCCCCCTGTGGGCTCTGTGCTGTGAGTGCAGAGCCCGCTTCGGATCCTCTCTCTCCTTCTCTCTCTGCCCCTCCCCTGCTCATGCTCTCTCTCAAAAATAAATAAACATTAAAAAAAAAGAGAGAGATGCTTTTAAAGAATGTTTACTGATACAGAAAGACACTCAAGATACGCGGTTATGTGAAAAAAAAAAGATGAACCCCGTTATTACAATAACATCCAGAACATACACAGAACTAGAAAGAAAGAGACCAAAATATTAATACTTTCACTTCTCGGTATGTAATTGGGGGGATCTTTTTTCCTCACACTTTTCTGTGTTTTCCAAATTTCCATACGAGGCTGTACTACCTTTCTGGTTGGGTGAAAATACAAACTTTCTGGTTTTGTTTTCGAGTGAAACAAGGAGCCATGGCTATAGCTCTCCTAAGAGTGAAAACCCTTGCGAGGACTTGCGCAGAGGGGGGTCCCCAGAACATACCACTCCTCTCTCCCAGATGACGCTCATGCGGTCCTGGACACCACTCACTCCATGCGGGATCTTGGTGAAGTCCTCCTTGCCCATAGCTTTCTGCTTTGTGGTGAAAGGCCGGTGATCTGATGCCACAATGTTCAGAGTATCACTGGATAAAGAGAAAGATGGGCCAGTGAGGGAGGGAGGCCAGGGTCCCGGAGGGTGGGGACAGGTGCAGGGAAAAAGCCTTCCCTTCGGATCCAGGCAAAGCTGACCTCTAACAACTTACTTCATTTGTGTGAACCTCAGTTTACTCATCTGTAGAATGGGTTTGTGGGCTGAGGGTTGACACTGGCTGTCAGTGTCACAGGAGACACTGATGGGAGCCTTTGGGGCATCAACTTTTTTTTTTTTTCCAATGTTTTTTATTTATTTTTTTGGGGGGGACAGAGAGAGAGACAGAGCATGAACGGGGGAGGGGCAGAGAGAGAGGGAGACACAGAATCGGAAACAGGCTCCAGGCTCCGAGCCATCAGCCCAGAGCCCGACGCGGGGCTCGAACCCACGGACCGCGAGATCGTGACCTGGCTGAAGTCGGACGCTTCACCGACTGCGCCACCCAGGCGCCCCAACAACTTTTAAGAGTTAAGGCAGCAGGCAGAGAAAAATTCAACTCCTAGTTTTGCTAACCTGAGGTGGTTTTACTGTCAGAGGCTCAGATGCCAAGCTCTTGTCTTCTCCCTCAACCCCTACCAGTCCCCTGCTGGTGACAAGCATGTGCTTGGTAAAACATTTACAAGTTCAATGGTAAGCATTGCTAAATAACTCGTGGCCATAGCCTTTCTTGGATGTGGGGACTCTGACGGCACAGAAGAGGAAAGGAGGGATGACAGTAGAGATGTTTGCCTTAATAAACCAGCGATGCTATGCAAGCCAACCGGTTCATCACCCCCACCCTCTATGACCATTGTCCTCGGAAGGTTACTGAGGCCGACCTCCGTGCGAGGCTGGGGGCGGCTAAGGCATGGTGGGGCTCTCCGGGGGTTCCGGCCTCGCTAGGATCCAGGGCAGAGACTTAGTAGGACGGTGCGACGGTACACGAGGCAGCAGACCCTCTACCAAATGAGGGCGGCAGATAGCTGGCCCATGTGCAGAGATCTCTGGAGGCCGAGGGCTCAGAGGTGGTGAGGGGCAGAGGGGGAAGGATGCCCACATCGCCCAGGCCAGGGCAACCTCATAAGGAAACACCATTGGAGGGCAGGGAGGGTCCTGGCTGGAGCATGGGGGTCGTGTGGGGGAGGGGGACAACTGCTGGGACCACACAGCGGGGGCCCTGAGAATCTAATTTCTTTGTAGGAGGCACCAAAGCCTGTGAATGCCTGTGGGCCAGCTAAGCTGCCCACATCAGACTTGGTGATGAGACATCTCCTTTTTTAAAAAATTTTTTAAGTTTATTTATTTTGAGAGAGAGAGAGAGAGAGACAGAGAATCCCTAGCAGGCTCCACACTGTCAGCACAGAGCCTGACGTGGGGCTCAAACTCAGGAACCATGAGACCATGATCTGAGCCAAAACCAAGAACCAGATACCCAACCTACTGAGGCACCCAGGCGCCCCAGTGACGAGGCATATTCTTAAGGCTCTCAGCCAATTCAGGGTCAGGCTGCATATTGGGCTGTCTCCACCGGGGGCCTGGCAGGGTTCATCAGTCACAACTGTTGCCAAATGACTGACTTCCTCGGCCAAATTCACAGTGAGATGACTTAGCCCTTCCTGTGGCATGGGCTGGTGTCTCCCTTGGCCAAACACGCTGCTCTGGGCCTTCTCAGAGATTGCAGGGGACACTCTCCACAGAGCAGAGGGTTTGTTCTAGGGCGCTCCAGTGCTGCCCACATTCCCCGGGCCTGCAGAACCCATCAGAGTTTCACCTTCTCCTCAGGGGTCCTCCAGACCCCCAGGCAGGGCTCAGATCAGAAGAGGTGCCCATCAGAATCATTGGCTCAGGGTCAGGGACCTCAACTCCCATTCTTGAACCAAGTGCTACTGAGCAACCACCTTTCAAAAAAGGCTCCTACACAAGTAGGTGCCCCTCGGGGCGTGTGGTCACTTTCCAGAAGGGCTTCTGAGGTCTCCTAGTGCTGCCCTGAATCTAGGAAATTCGACACCCACATCCATACCCTTTAAAGTTTAGAACATGACTGTCTTTAAGTAGTTGAAGAAATTTTTTTTAATGTTTATTTATTTTGAGAGAGAGAGACAGGGCGCCAGTGGGGGAGGGGCAAGAGAGAGGGAGACACAGAATCCGAAGCAGGCTCCAGGCTCCGAGCTGTCTGCGCAGAGCACGACGTGGGGCTTCAACTCACGAACCAGGAAATCATAACCTGAGCCGAAGTCAGACACTCAACCGACTAAGCCACCCAGGCGCCCCTCAAGTCCTTTAAAATTTTACATATTCAAATGAAGAGGACTTCTGGCCCCTTTCAGAAATGAAATTTTACACAGAGAACAACCTGGTGGTTGCCAGAGGCGGGGGGTGGCTAGGAGAGTGGGCAAAATGGGTGAAGGAAAGGGGGAGGTACAGGCTTTCAGTTATGGAACGAGTAAGTCACAGCCACGAAAGGCACAACGTGGGGCATACAGTCCATGGTATTGTGACAGCGTCGCGGGGTGACAGAAGGTAGCCACACTTGTGAGCACAGCATAACGCAGAGAGTGCCAAGTCGCTGCTGTACTCGCGTGTAGCACGTCACATCGTGTGTCAACCACGTGTCAGTAAAAGAAGAAAAAAAAAAGGAGGAAGAAATTAGATTTGATTCTAGGGGTTTTATTTTTAAGTCATCTCGACCCTCAACACGGGGCTGGAACTCACACCCCCAAGGTCAAGAGTTGCGTGCTCTCCCGACGGGGCCAGCCAGCCTGGCGCCCCAAGAAATTGGATTTATTATTTATTTATTTATCTATTTATTTATTTGTTTATTTATGTCAACACCAAAATTTTAATTAATTAATTAATTTTTAATTGAAATTTTAGTTAGTGACATTAGATTTTATTTTATTTTATTTATTTATTTATTTATTTTTTCAACGTTTATTTATTTTTGGGACAGAGAGAGACAGAGCATGAACGGGGGAGGGGCAGAGAGAGAGGGAGACACAGAATCGGAAACAGGCTCCAGGCTCTGAGCCATCAGCCCAGAGCCCGACGCGGGGCTCGAACTCACGGACCGCGAGATCGCGACCTGGCTGAAGTCGGGCGCTTAACCGACTGCGCCACCCAGGCGCCCCAGTGACATTAGATTTTAAATAAAGGATAAATCCTTACACCCATAGATGGTGCTTTCCCCCTGATACGGAAGAAGTCACATGCTAACGTGGGTCGTAAGAAAGCAGTGCACGTTTTCTTATAAGAATATGGTAATTGGTGCCTGGGTTTTCTGTCAAGCATTTTGTAGGATATCAATTATCACCAACAAGGTGTCCTAAAAACGAAACGACAGTACCACAAATTCCTATACACAACAAAAATGTTCAAACGCTGCTCCAAATTCCATAAAATTACACACTTGTACAATATGCACCGATCTTCAAAAGGGATTCAAACTCTTCTCAGGACAGTTAGCATGAAACTGCAATTCGACTTAAGTGAATAAATGTATTTAAGTTACCTTAAAAATAGGCTAGATATAAAACCTTAAATGATTCCATTAACAGCACTATTTGCCCCTGCCTATTTGAATGTGTTGGGGCCGCTGTCATCTGGGTAGGTTGGGGCAGTTGCCACCTATTTGTTCTTCCAGCAAATATGCCTGTGGCAAGCAGAGGTACTTCAAAAGATTTTTTTGACCTTGGCACTGAGCCCAAATTACTACAGTGGGCTCCTGGTTCTTGTCGGTTTTGGTTGTGTTGATAAAGATGGAAAAGAGGCTGGCTGGCATTTCCCTGTGAAAAGCATTTTTAAAAATTATTTCCTTATTTATTTTTAACATATATATTTAAAGTTTACTTATTTATCTTAGAGAACAAGTCAGGGAGGGGCAGAGAGAGGATCCTAAGCAGGCTCCCGCAGGTCAGCTCAGAGCCTGAGGGGGGGTGGGGTTCGAACTCAGAAACTATGAGATCGTGACATGAGCTAAAATCAAGAGTCAGACGCTTAACCAGCTGAGCCACCCAGGTGCCCTCTGCAGTGAAAAGCATTTTTAAGTCAGAGCTGATCTGGCATTTCTCCTCTCTCGTACTCCCTAATTTAAAAAAAAGCAAAAAAATTTTTTTAACGTTTTATTTATTTTTGAGACAGGGAAAGACAGAGAATGAACAGGGGAGGGTCAGAGAGAGGGAGACACAGAATCTGAAACAGGTTCCAGGCTCTGAGCTGTCAGCACAGAGCCCGACGTGGGGCTCGAACTCACGGACCGAGAGATCATGACCTGAGCCGAAGTCGGCCGCTTAACCGACTGAGCCACCCAGGCGCCCCATCGTACACCCTAATTTAGCTAAATGTGTAAGGGGTGCTGCTGCTCAGGATCACAGCAATATTGTGGGACAGAAAGCAGGTGCTGCACTGGGCCACGCATATACTGGCCCTCCGGGGCCACCTGCGCCCGGAGACCTTACTGACTGCACCCTATACTCCTCTTTCAGGTGTTAACACAGCAGGATGCTGAGTGGGAATTTGCCAATTGTCGGCGACCAGGAGGGAACATTAAGGACCTGGATGAAATAAGTGCCCCTTTTTCTCAAGACAGCCATCTTCAGTCGGGGCTGGCTACTTCCCTCAATCATCCTCACCATCACCCTCGAAGAGAAGAGGGCTGTCACCTCCCCCCAGGTATATAAAAGCCTACGACAGGGAGGGAGACTGAGGTATCACAGGATGGAGAGTCCTGTAGTCTTTTCCTCTTCCTTCTTTTCGTGTTCGAGTGCGGTTTCCCTACCCTCTCTCCTAGCAGTCTCCTCCATAGTCAAGGAGGGGACATTGCAACAGGTTCACCCACGGAAAACAGAGGTGATGGCTGTGGGCTTCTTGTTTGGGAGGGGGCCGGTGGACCCGCCCTGAGCCTCTAGGTGAGGAGAGCCAGTGGGATGGGGACAGACTGCCCTCCCACCGTCGAGAGTGGCAAAGCTGTGTGAGCTTTCTCTGGGCCCCAGACACTGTAGAAGGTGGTCAGGCTGGAGCTGCCTTCCAGGGTCCTTGTTCACAGGGACACCACTAGTTCTAGAAGCAAGGAAGGTGTAGGTGGAAGAGGTTGGACTGGAATCCATCTTCCATATCAGGGGATTGTATGAGGGCTGCACAAGAGAGCCCACAAGGGCATGTGTCCTACATAAGGAGGGCCCCAAAGGCCAGTCACGTTGAGTCTGAGAAGCAGGAGTATAGACTGGTGCTTGGGTATGGAGAAGAATCCCCCTACTCAGGGACTGGGCACGGGGAAGGGAGGAGACTGACATTTAAACTAGACTAGACTTGGGGCGCCTGGGTGGCTTAGCCGGTTAAGTGTCTGACTTCAGCTCAGGTCATGATCCTATGGTTTGTGAGTTCCAGCCCCGTATCGGGCTCTCTGCTGTCAGTGTGGAGCCGGCCTTGGATCCTCTGTCCCTCTCTCTCTATCTGCCCTTCCCCAGCTCTCTCTTTCTCTCAAAACTAAATACACATTTTAAGAAAAAAAATAAACTAGACTTTAATAACCAAGAAGGAGAGAAAACAATGGATTCTATGCAAAATGTCACTAAAGGAAAGAAAGAAGCTGCAAGCAGTTTGGGACAAAACAAAATCTTTTCATCTTTGTGTCCCACTGAATTCAGACTATTCGTTAAAACTTTTCCTTTAGATTTGGATCATATGGGAAAAAATCGTGTTAGAACAAGAGGAGCTGGAGAAAAGGAGATCTGGAGGGGAAGAATGAGGGGGAAAGAGGAAGAGAGGGCAGAAGGAAAGGAAAAAGGGGAAAGAAAGGGGAAACCACGTGCGAAACGAGGAGGGGGAGGTAAGGAAAAAAGAGACAGAAAGGCCCACATATATTCTAGAATAAGTCAGCAGCCACATCCTACAGCCCTGAAGTGGTCCTCAGTGTAAAAGCAATGTCCTTGGAAATTCTGAACAACCACCATTCACCGTCTCATATATGCTCTTGACTCTTAACACTGCAGAAGCTCTCGCTCCAAATCAAGTGGTCGGAGAAGCCGACAGGTAATTGGGATGGCAATTAGCTGATGGGCTCTGGAGACGGTAACAAAAACAGAGTCATCCTACGGGCACAATGGAACCAGACCTAGGTCAGATTTGGGGCCTCTGCGACATCACCTCGAAGACGTGTACGTTCCCAGGACGGCATATATTATGAGTTAAGGATGTGCTACGGGGCCCACAGAGGTTCTGCCAAAATGCCTTACTTGGCCAGCAGGCTCATGAGGTAGGTGGAGGTGTTCGTGTCCAGTCTCAGCGGAGGCACCGTGACGTAGGCGGCCGCGTGGGACCAGTCCTGGTGGTAGTAGTGTAAGCCTGTCAGAGTGGCATGGGCGGTGGTGGTCTCGGCCAGCACAACCTTCCCTAGAAGAAGAAACGTCAAACCGTGACTAGGAAGCCAGTGGCCTGAGAGATCACTGGTCTGAGCTTCTCATTTCATAGGCAGAGGAGCTGAAGTCAGAGAGAGGAAGGGACTCGCCTGAGCTTACACGGGGGTTTGAGGGCACAGCTGGGTTCAAGGCCGGAGAGCTCCATATTGCCATGCTGGCTCCAGGCAAGGAGAACAGAAGGGCAAGGGTGCCGAAGAGGGGCAGCACCGCCATTTGGGGGGACCACGGGTGCTTCAGGGCACTGATGGGAGGAAGGAGGGCCAGCGGTGCGGGTGAGACTCCCAAGGGCTCCCACTGGGGGAGAGGCGGGAGGCAGGATCTCGCGGGCAGTTCCACCAGAAGGCTGAAAGCCCTTGCTCTGATTTATCTCCCCAGGTCTGTGACCATGACTTTGTTTCTCCCGTTTCCAGGACCTCACTGGCACCCTGAGCCGGGCCAAGACTATAAGTATAAAAACCTTCAGGTGCCGCCCAGTGCTCAGCAGCAGCCGACACACAGGTATCGGGGCTCGCACACAGGGTGTGGGGTGGCTGGAAGGGAAGCTGGGTCCATACACTGTTACTCCTCCGGGGACTTCCCAGGCATCCCCTTGAAATGTCCGCTGGAACCGGTCCAGGATTTTATGTTAGTTGCCAAGGCAACGACCAGTAAAACCCAAGAGGCCAAAAAGATACCAATTAAGGAGCTGACTGAAAACGTGGAAAACTTTACCAGACCCGGGAGAGGTGACAGACACTTCCGCAGAGCTGTTATGCATGCAAATGCACAGAGGAAAACACTGCTTCTAGCGCACCGAACCCAGGCTAGCGCAGTGCTTCTGCGGGCGGCGGGAGAGAAAAGGGAGTACTCCGGGGGACCCCGCAGGGCTGCAACCCCACCACACGTGCGCACGGTCCACTCCAGCCCAAGGACTCGCCTTGCATCTTAGCAGCTGCGATAACGTCACCGGCCGAGATGCTGGACACGTTGACCAGGTATATTGGACAGTGAGTCTAAACAAGGAAACCGGCAGAAAGGTGAGCGCATCAGCCCCATGAACCTAACAAGCACTAGCACAGCCCCAGCCAAACCAGTCCGGGCCCCGGCACCTCCCTCTGCACGTCTTAGCCCCACTCGCAGGGAGAGAGGGTCTTCTACCGGGAAGGCAGGCTGGCGGCCAGAGCACAGACTAGGGGAAGCACGGAGGAGGCAAGCACCAGGGCCCAAGGGGAATGTCAGGGCCGAGCCTCAAATATTCCACCAGCCGGAGTCAAGATGATTTATAACTTAACACCAGGGACTTTTTAAATTTCCTGCTCATGAACGTGACGACCTAGAGACAGTCATGGATCATACTTCGTATCTAAAATTACAACAAGGGCTGCCTTACCAGTAGACAGAATGTACCCTGAGAAGAAACAAAATGTAAGAGGTTTGGGGTTCAGGGTCTATGTCAGGCAGGACTGGTCTTACAAATGGACACCTGGGTTGTAATATCGATGAGCTTTTCCTCTGCCGAGCGATGCGACAATGGTCCCCGGCTTCACCTGCCTGGGCATATGCTTGTGCTAAAAAACAGGAAGCTGGCTTTTTGTTGTTGACATCTTTCCTTATCCTGGGGTCGGTCTCCGTCAGGAAATCATTGGTATCGTAACCACTGGTGTGCCAGTAAATCAATGTCCTCGACCGGCACCCAGACTTGGAAACTGCTCATGGGAAACTTTTCCCAAATGTTACTCTGATGTCTTCTCTGCTCATCAAAATGAGAGGACAGAGAGCTTAGGAACTGGCCTGACATTTGACGTGCTGGGTGCAACTTTACTAATTCTGAGATCCGCTGGACCTCCAACCTCTGCCTTGTCCCCAGCGTTCCTAACACCACGCCCTCATGCTTACTTACATCCTTCGGGATCGCCCATGTCTTTTCAGAGAAGAGGTTCTCGAGCGTTAGTGCCCGCTAAAACCATGGGTGGGCTTCTTAAAACAGACTGCTGGGCATCGTCCCCAGTTTCTGATTCGATGGGTATGGGCCCGAGAATCTGCAATTCTAAGTTTCTATTTCTAACAAACACGGGTGCTGCTGGTCCAGGCGCCACACTTTAGAAAACTGGTATTCTCGAGGTGACAGCACAGATTATCTGAGCAAATCGAACTCTTTAATGATGGTTTAGGAGAAACAACCTTGGTATATTTCTTGGTATATATCTACTGTTTATAAAGTGCCTTTCTTTCTCTGTCCCCCTTTGACCCTCACTATCCTCCTGTGAGAAGTGATATCATTCCAACGTTAGATAACAAAATAGTATATCAGAGTGGTTGAGTGATGCACATACGCTGAGAGCTTTGTGTTTGGTAAAGGTCTCACGTCTTGTTCGTTTCCCACACCGTGTCAGCACCCCCTCGCCCTAAGCGATACCAAGGAAAACTTCTAAGTGGTCTAGAGGCAGAGGGTTCGATCACGGTTCTCTAAGCAAGCCATCTACCGAATTCCTCTACAGGAAACAGAGTTCATTTGCAGTGAGGCTCTGTGGACACCCAACTCACCCTGCCTCCCATGGGAGCCATTTCCACTTGAGCAATGAAGCCAGACTCAGCAAGCTCACGGCGGTGGGGGGGGGAGGACAGACAGCTGGCAGCTAGGAGGACTTCTGCCAGGTCTGTGGGAATAACAACACCCAGGAAACGGTTTTGGGGTCCTGTGAGCCAGGCATGGTGGTGGCACCCAGGGCAGAATGGGACTCCACTGTGTAGACTGAAGATGCTGGTTTCTGATCCCAGAGTCAAGAATGGGTTTAGGGTGAGCCAGGGTCTACTTACCCTGTTTGCAATGGTGATAACTCGGTGAGTGGCTTCAGCCTCCAGCTGTAAGAAACAAAGGACAGGAAGAAAACAAGCTTCAGCCTCTCTCCCAAGCAAGCCCACCTCTGCTCAAGAGCCCACTTTGTAGAAAGTGCTGGAATATCCAACATTGGGCCGGAGGGGCCAAATGCACCCATAGGGGCTGGCTCGGGGGGTAAGCCCTGGGCAGGGGCACCAAGCTCCAACCACCTCTTCTCACCCTGAGAGAATCTGAGGATTTACTACACCAGGCATATCCTCGCTGGATGCTACTCAGGCCTTAAATAACAGGCAACGAGGGGCACCTGGGTGGCTCAGTCAGTTAAAGCATCTAACCCTTGGCTTCAGCTTAGGTCATGATCTCATGGTTCGTGGGATTGAGCCCTGCATGGGGCTCTGTGCTGTCTGCTTGGGATTCTCTGCCCCCCCCC